CGGCCGCGGGTGGCTGCTTTAAACCTGATGGGATTTCACGTAGGTTTTGTGTTAGGCCTGTGTCAAAAAACATCCATCTGATGACAGCGGATACGTCCTGGGATGTATCCTTTGAATTTCTAAGGAGGGAGTAATCTTTAGGCTGGGGTTTCATTCAATATTTCTTATCCTTCTTTTCTTAAGGATATAGGAGCTGTGCCACGGGTAGGAATAGGAGCAGGATTTGAGCAGGGAATGTTCGCACCCAAGACTTCTAGCGTGTTCTTCGATAGTAAATAGTTCAAACAAACGGTGCTGTTTGGATGTAAAATTCAGAAATCATAATGGACTGTGGCAAACGTTTACATCTGATAGTGAAGGGCAAGTGGACGCACAAGAAGATGCGTTTGTTACAGAAGTTTGTTACGTGCATATTTGTTGTGTATTTGTTTCTTGGGTTATCATTGAATCATTTGGCTTTTCACTGAAAGTACAAGAAAAATTGTGGAAAATATACAGGATCTCAGAGCACCCGCAGCATACATTTTTGACAGGTGGGTTTCTACACCACCTACCGAAAAGAACTGTAACTGCATCTTTTGTTAGAAATCATTTTATGATGGTAATTACTGAGGGACAGAATTTACTACCTAGGTGTGCTGAAGTCATTCTTGGGTGTGGATGCACATTCTTCAAGAAGTATGGGAGAGTTCATATTTGTTTGCCTCTATTACACTTATCTCCAATGACTTATGAAATTGGCAGCAGTGCACAAGCCTCATATTCTCCTCCTTTATGTGTACAGTACATGCTAGTAGTACTTCATCTCTTAAGGTCTGAAAGGAGTTTGCTGTTCTTTAGGTATTAGCAGTTGATAACTTCCAATAGCTAGGTTTTCAAATGGGGGAAAAACCCCCACAGGATTTTAACTGTCAAAAGATTTAAGGAAGGTTTGCTTGTATTGGACATAGAATCATAGAATATCTCAAGTTGGAAGGGACCCATTAGGATCATTGAGTCCAACTCGTATGCTTTACTGTTGGTGTGATCATACTCTAGGGTATGTGTAAACAGTGTAAAATCAAGCTAAGGTGGTGGTGAATATCCTCTTACAGCAAGTTAAGTTGTTCTAGTAAGTCACGAGACTGTAGATCTCTTTCATTCTTCATACCTTGTGTTAGAGTGTATTGGTGGGAGAAGGTGACAAAGAAGTGTAAGAATAGACCTTATTATAGCTCAGAATTAAATAGCTCCCCAGAGCTACATGTTTGGTAAAAGAAAAAAACCCAACTTTTTCTTCAGTCTTCCAAGTAACATTGCTACTTTTCCTTTTTTCTTTTTT